GTACCTCATACCTTTAAATTTGAACCTGTTTTGTCCTTAGAGTGTTTTTCTCAGCTCTTAACTCATAAACCCTCGGTTAATTTTCTTTTTCCCCCTGTCTTCTGCTCAACTGTAGCAAGAAAGAGTGAGTGAATGGCTTTTGTGAATGCCTGGTGTTTGGCTAACGTCAAACCACAACAGTGACCTATAGGAAAAGCATTCAAGAAAAATATCCGTGGAGTTATTCAGAACAAGGGAGAAATATTAACACTTGAACAGGCAGATAAAACAATGTAGAAGTTTGGATGGCAACATTTTCTCCCTCTTTTTGTTCTTCCCCATCTGGGACTGAGTTCTCAGTACACATGGTTAAGGCAAGCTGTAAAAGTTTATCCACATTCAGGTTATACAATTACTCCAGTTATGCTAATTGACCCAATTTTGGAACTTATATTTCTTTCATTATATGGTTTCCTACAAAACATGTCAGGTGTGAATGGTATCACTTTACAAATCCATAGGTTTGCTGCAGGCAGGAAGAAATCTTGTTTAGAGTATGGTGTTAGTAACATGGGGGTCATGGGCTGGATCCCCTTTTTGACCACTCAAGGGTTGGACTCCATCTTTGTGGATCCCTCCCAACTCAGAATATTCTGTGATTCTTCTATTTGCAAGAATATTGATGAGCAATGGAAGATTGAATAGGCAGTAAGGATTGTTTATTTTAAAAGAGATAAGATGGCAGGAAAATCACAGAAGTGACCATATCAGAAAAGAAATATTTGTATCTCTGAGTTAAGTTGTTGAGTAATGACTCACTAGGTGATAGAAAACCCTGTGTGCTTTGAAAGTATGTCTCCAAGGCATCTTGCTGTGTAAATGATGATGGGAACTGTGTGGGATATTGTCTTGGATGAGAAACATTCGGTGTGTAGGGAGGTTTCAGTAAACAGGACATAGTAGGAGGTGGCAGTGATAAAATGCACCCTTTCAGAGCTGGATGTCTGTTTTCAATTAAGTGTGGTTCTTGAGAAAGAAAGTGTTCAGCAGCATCATTTCACATCAGTATTACCACTGGCTTGTGTACCACCATATCCCCTTCTAGCAGGTACACAGGGTCTAAGGGCTCCCCATCCTCTGAAGTATAAATTGAGTAGAGGGACCTGGCTAAAATAGAGATTTAAAAGATTTGGTCTAAGGAACATAGCCTGCTTCCTGTACTGCTGATGGTGAATGCTCTTTCCAGTTTTTAAGCAAACGAATTGCATTAATATTATTATAACACATATCTGAGGGGGGGAAAAAAAGAGCATTATAAGGCACCAAAAATGATAAAATTTTTAGTGGTAATCTGATTCTGAAAGTCTATTTAATTATTTTCCATTTCGATATTCCTTTCTGAGGAAAACATCTGTAAAAGAAGCTGGCCACCTGTACAGGAGTCAAAGGGACAGATACGGCAAGCCAGTGGCAGCGGGCTGTGAGCCCCATGGGAACATGAACTGGGAGCCCTGTGCCCAGGCATGGTGCCACCACCTGCACTGCTGCTCTGGGCACATGCTGCCCCGTCCATGAGGATGAGAAAGCATACATAAAAACTTCCCAAGAATTGCCGGCTCCTGTACATAATAGTGTGGCACAAAAAAATAGTGAAGACAACAGCTTCCTAACACGAAACCAAAATGATCCAAAGACAAGAACAGTGACTTCTCCAGGTCTGCTAAGGAATGAACAAGAATTTGACACAATGTCATTCACTTTTATTTTAGTGAGGGAACAGCAGGACAGATTTTTTTGTAGGTTGATGTTGTCCACTCTGACCTTGATGGAGTTAATGTTGTATGCTATGCATTTAGTGACATGTTTTAAATGTCAGACCCTGCTTTTGAGAAGCTTGTTTAGACACTACAGGCACCATGATTTTAAGGCTGGTAGCACAAAGATAAGAAAAATTATTTCCCAAAATTTTGACGAACCTTTTCACAGATTCTGTTTAAAATAAAGCCACTTTTCCAACAAAGCTCCAGTATCTTTTCACTTTTCCAAGCACACATAGTGGTTGAGAGGGCTAATCAGTATTTCACAGTTCAGCATGATAATCAGATCTGGTTTCTAGTGGTATCCTCCCCAACAAGTCAAATTACAACAGCCATATCTTAATTATTGAGTTATTCTAGTGCTCTCTAGTGTTGACTTGGATTATAACATGTTAAGTTTTCACCCTCTCCAGCTGTATTAGCTATGACTAAACCATTTCTACAGCACTTGCAAAATATAATGAAAAAGCATTTATTTGGGTTTTTCATTTTGTTTTTTAAATTTGCTCAGCATCTTGTAAGATTAAACTGTGGTCAAATCAAAAGAGATGAAAACTATATAAAAAAAAAAGGGCTTTATTCAGGAATTTATTTGAATATTGCACCCAGCATGTTAGACCCTTCTTATTCTTCCCGCAGCTCTTGGAGAGCTCCAGTGCAAAGCTGTAACTGATGATCTACTAGCTGGCTTGTATTTTCTTTCCATTTCTGATCCTGTCTAAAGTGGGGAGAGATCCAATAACCTGATGCAGTTTGCCTGGTGCTAAACACTGTTAACAAACTTTGCAGCCATGCTCACGCTTCTGGCTAGGGTTCACCTAAACAGGGAAGTAGAGCTTACAGCCAGCAGACTGTATTTTGTCTGCAGTCAGGCTGCAGGTGGCAGGCTGTAAGGCAGGTGCATGCTCGACATTCCCTGATGCAGCACTTCTAGTGAGAACATACCAATCCCTGCAAAATCCTTGCCATGCTCAATTAAGCAAATCCTCCCCATGTGAAATTAGGTATACCAGTTAATGTTATATGAGGTATTCTGCCACCAGAAACACATCTTGCCTCCACCAGTATTGCTGCAACATGCAGTTGGCATAACTGGAAGATTAGCAAGCTTCCTTATGCATGTTTAGCACCTGACACATCCTTGTCTCCAAATGTTATATAGTACAGGATTGTAAGCTTGCTTCATATAGAAAATTATGCATCTTATCTCCAACATTATGGAAAAAAAGTGAAGGAAAGACTGAAGAGCAGAAGGTATAGGTAAAACAGCATATACAGTGGTTTCACTTCTCTTGGTCAGATGTTTTCTCCTTCCTCTTCCCCCTGAAACAAGCTGTTAATTTTCTTTCCCAGCTAGCAGTGCAAGGTGCAGTAAGCATGAAGGTATGGTTAAGTTTTCCTGTTAATTTAAGCATGTCAGTCTAAATTGCAGTAGTTTCCTGGTTCAGTTTCTTCAAAAAGCTACCACCTTCTGCTTTGCTGCATGCATCATATGCATACCATGCTCAGCAGCTCAGAACCATCAATTCATAGAACAGCTTGGATTGGAAAGGACCTTACATAACATCCAGTTCCAACCCCCTGCTGTGGGCAGATACTCCTTCCTCTAGACCAGGCTGCTCAGAGCCCCATCCAACCTTGGCTTGAACACTTCCAAGGATGGAGCATCCAGAACTTCTCTGGGCAAGTTGTTTCAGTTCCTCACCAACCTCTCAGTAAATTTCTTTCTAAATCTAATTTAAAACTACACCCTTCAGTTTAAAGCCATTAGCCCATATCCTATCCTCTCCCTGTCTTTCTTTACCAACTTCCTTCAGGTACTGAAAGACTGCAGTAGTGTCACCCCAGAGCCTTCTCCAGGCTGAACAACCCCAGCTCTCTTAGCCTGTCCTTGTAGGAGAGATGCTCCATTCTTCTGATCATCTTCCTAGCTTTCCTCTGAATCTGGGCTAAAAAGCAGTCCCCCAGTCTGTAACTCCAGAGCCAATACTTTTCAGCCAGCAAAGAGCAGATTCCATAGTTTCAAGACAGATTTAGATTTTGCTGAAAAACAAGACCATCCCTAATGTGATATTAAACAAAATGAGAATGTAACTTGAGTTACACACACACACACACACACATATATTCTTGACTGTATGTGGTGTCTTTGGCTTGCAAACTACATATACCTGTATTTTTGTTCACTTATGTACTTAAAAATGGCAAAACCTTGAGAACAAAAATCTAGAGAAACTCTGGTAATCCAATACTTAATCCTGCTTAAATCCACTAAGGAGCAGACACAAACCAACAGGAGATCATGGTTAGAAAATCTCTCACTGTCACACTGTATGCAGAAAGATTAGGTCTTGTATCACTTGTGGTGAAGACAGCTTTTTTCCACTGCTGTACTTCAGATTTCTGTGGCAAATCCTATAAACAAAATTCTACTTAATTTGATTTCCATTTTCATGTACAGTCCTATTACCTATAGGACTATAGTGCTTGTTTCTAAAACTGAATTTCTGTTATTTTTGCTTTATTGTTCTTCGTAGCAAAAGACTGCTCCACAGAATGAAGTTACCTGTTGGTTAGCTAAATACTGCAGCTATTTCAGTAGATATGGACACAGCGTAAAATGTGAAAAATGTTCCTGCTAGCAGGGATAAAGGATATTTTCAAATCCTAAATATATGCATGGTGAATAACTATGTGCTAGAAAAACGTATTTGGAAACTGCGTAACGTGATGAATAGAGCTTTTCCATTGTATTTTTTGAGAGCCATTGATTTATTGTGAAACAAAATCTCACAAATTTTTGTGAAACTGATTGTCAAAAATACCACATTCCTAACCAAAATGTCTAGCATATACTAATGGTAGGAACACCAGAAACAAGCTAGCTCCAGCAGCTGGAAATTATCTCCCATGTCACACACTGCACCAAGCAATAGCTGGGTTTTGGTTCCTCACATTAAGAAATAGATACAGAATGTTTTGAAGTGGAATATGTGAAAACATTATATTAACAATTTCAATGTCCCAAGATTCAAAATAATGCCAAGAAAATAAGTTACTAGATAATTCTAGAAATAATGACATATAGGAGGAAAATATATGGATGGAGTGATTCCATATATAAGAATTTATTCAACCTGATAGATACAGTTCAAAATACTAAAATGGGATTTCTACAATAAACTGAACAATGCAAAGGATTTGTCTGAAAAAAGTTTATTTGAAAAACACTCAACAACTATTATTAAGAAATTAGTTTTCCCCTCTACATTAACGTATTTACATATACTATACATATTTATACATACATCTATGCACACACACATACAGAGCTTTAATTTGAATTGTGTATTACTATATTGGATTTATAGAGCTACATATTGTACAGCAACTTGATTTAAGGTTCTGCATTCCTTGGATATAACAGTCTTTGTCTGCAACCTTGTAAAAATTAAACAATTATAAGATACATTATCTCAATGGATTGCTAGTAATTTCCTGTAGACACTGTTATTCACATTAGTAGTCAACGTAGCCCTTCTGCTACTAGCAGTAGACATCAACTGGCCACTGCTGCTACTACTGTTAGGATCAAAAGTCTTTTTACAATTGAAGAGACTGAAAAATTGTCTCTGATACTGAGAAGAAGCATAGTAGTAAATAAAGGGGTCAATGCAGCAGCTAATGCTGCTGATAGAAACACAGAGTAGATAGGCAAAGTAGAGATACTCTAAGCTGTTGTCATATGAAAAATGGATATAATGAATAAAGAGGAGAATATTTGTGGGTCCAAAGCAAATAACGAAAACAGAAAAAACAGCCACACACAAGAGCAAGGCACGTGTCTTCTTGTTTTGCTTTGCAACAATGTTGGAAGAACTAAGACAGCGAATGATACACACATAACAGACAGTAGAAATTATAAACGGCACTATGAAAAACACAGAAGAGAAGACAGAGAAGAAGTGGAGGTAATAGCCATGAAGTTCGGATTCTCTCAGCACATCGTGGCAGGTAGTTATGTTTAGCCTGGGTATTTCCATTGTTTGCTCTCGTAAGAGAAAAGGTATAACTCCGGTTATCGCTACAAGCCATATGATGAAACAAACCAGTGAGGCACGAGGCAGTGTACGCCACCCCAGGGACTGCATGGGGTACACCACTGCTAAGAAGCGATCAAAGCTTATGCTAGTCATAAGCATTATTGAGCAGTACATGTTGCAGAAGAAGGCAGCAGTGATGAAACGGCACATCTGAGGCCCAAAAACCCAGTCATTTCCAGAAAAGTGATAGACAATCTTAAACGGAAGCACACTTACAAAGAGAACATCTGCAAGGGCCAAATTCAGCATGTATATCACAGCTGGCTTTTCGATTTTCATCTTTTTCAGAAACACAAGTATGGCTGTAATGTTCAGAGGGAGACTCAGCACAAGCACTAGGGTGTAAACTGAAGGAACAAAACGGGTCAGCCACGGACTAGTGAGGTATCTTGCTGTTTGAACTGACATCATTTGTTGTTCATGCAGGAATAATCCAGTCTGATTGGTGGCTCCTGATCCAACTTCCAAGTCATTTTCAGTATCACCGTCAATAGGTATAAGATCAGCCTCTGGACTGGAAGAAAAACGAATGGAAAAACTTCTGATGCCTGGTATGCTGCTGTTATTGGGAAAGCCTGAAAAGAAAGGAAGTATTAATAAACCAATATTTAGATGGTACAGGGAAGTGAAAATATCTTTCAAGAAGGAAAGTTAAAATTACATTAGGTAAACAAAATAATAAGGGCAATTTCCGATTCAAAGCACAGGTTGCCCACAGGTCAGCCATTTTATTTGAGCTCTTCCTGCTACAATTTTGGGTAAGATGTCCTCCTTTGTCTCCTATCTCTTAGCTTGAAAGCTTTTATTAGTAGCGATTCTAGCTATGCTCTCTTTGACCAACTTTAGCACAAACACGAGAGAATTTTCCAGCCTCTAACTGTCCTGGCCAGACCCTTCACACATTTTTTAAGAAATGAGATGCTGGCATAGATACTAGTACTCATACACAAAATTCCCACTGGAAGTACACTAGTACTTTTTTTATCATGAAAATCACAAAAAGTGCAATTAAAACATCACGTTTTTGAAATATTTCTGTGTGCTCGGGAGACATGTTACTCAACCCGAAGGCTCCCATCAAGAGAGATGGCAGAGCAGTTTTCAAGGCAGACGTGGATTGACCTTTTGCTTGTGACAGACAGGTAGCCACATATGGTGCTTAAACATTTTCCAAGTTCTATATCCTAACCCATAGTGTGCAGGATTGTGTGCGTCTGGCATACCCTTGGGGCAGAGTTCTGAAACCTACAGCTCCTTCTACAGCAAGGTCTTCTGCAGCATGGTTTGGTAGCTAAGTCAGGACAGGTTATCTCTGCTTTTTGAAATGTTGTAAGACAGGAAATCAGTGTGATAAAGCATTAAATCCGTGGCAGGGGACTATTTATGTAAAAAAATAAAAAATCCCCAGCCAATCAAAAATGCTATTTAGGCATTATTTCAGCAAAGTTGTTTTTTATGAAGAAATATTTTGTATGACCTACCATTTTCAGTTTTGGCTTAATCTGCTTTGGCATAGAGTAATTCAAGTGTACTGTGGGTAGACAGACGTGAGAAAGTTACAGTTACTCAACTAACCAGTCACCTGTTTGGCTGTGCAATTGATCTTTTGTTGGATCTTAGACAATTAAAATAAAAATGAGGGTGTCCTAGCTCAGATCTGTGAGCTGAAAGTACATGGTAATGATTCACCTGTGTAAAATGCTGCTTGGTAGAAGCAATTACTTGCTCTATAGTAATTGAAACCAGTTTTTTTAACCAAAGCATCTGAGGGAGGCAGATGGCAAAGAGAAGAGTGGCTGCAGCTTTAAGCAGCCAGTTACCTCCCTTTGTGCACAGGCAGTGAGAGAAGGGCCCTATCCAGCATGGATTTTTGTGAAATTCAAACTAGAATGTGGGGGGAGATCAGAGGACTGGTAAGGCAATTTAATGATTTTATTTAGAGGGGCTGTGCTTTATGTACCATGCTTCGTCACAGCAGCATTCTAGGGGCAGAGGAACAAAAGGGAAGTGTTTGAGAGAATAGTTTTCATATGCAAAGTGGCTAGATTGCAACCCCTGCCGGTAGCTGGGAGCTTGTTACAGAGACTGTAGTAAGAATGATGTAGTTTGAAGCAGAAATGACAGAAAGTACATGAGATTTGGTGATTGCACAGAAGGGCACTAAACGCATTTATACAAGGGTCTTTTCTGTCTTTTTAAAGAGAACAAGAGCAGCAGGCCGAGCTATAGAACCTTAATCTGTAACACTTCTTTGTAAATTTAGTCCAAGCAGTTGGATGGCTCAAAGAGTCAGCTCCCAGCTTGGCTGTTAAGTTGCAGAACAAGTCCTTCTAACTTCAGCTGGTGGCTGACATCAAAGAGTTAGGAGATTTTCTGTATTCAATGATCACTGCAATAGAAATATGTCACAAAGGACACCACTGCTCTTCATCTCTTCTGGGAGGATTATAACAATACTTGAATGAACACCCCCTCTCCCCAGATTTCTTACGTCCAGAAGTTAGTCTCCATGGTGAAAACATCAATAAAAGTCAGGAAAAATCTGTACCTATAGTATCTCCAGTACACACAAGTTTTATGAATTTAAGACTTTGATTTCCAAACCAGAAAATTACTGAAAGAGAAGACAATGATAATTGTCCCCCAAAGGTCCTTCTTGCTTTCTCCACCACTGTAGAACAGTATGGAGAGCCAGACAAAAAGGTGACATGGTTCCATGTGAGGAATGCATGTTTTTGGGAACACAAGATATAAACAGACTTGAATGGAGAGAGGGTAAAGACTGGAGTTAAGAACTGGGTTGCTAAGATTACCACTGCATAACATGGTAACTGAGGCACTAGCACCTCTCTCATCTCAGTATCCCTTAACTTTAAAGGACGTGAGCTGTGCAATGGTTTCACACTTTTGGGAACTAGCAAGCCAACCCAATCAGAGTCACCCACCCCTAATGGCTAAGGTTAAGTCTCTTAGTGCAGATGCCATGGGTGATAACCCGACCCACTTCTCGTTACAACTGAGAACAATATAAAAATATGTAACAAGAAAAATATGCTATGATTGGTACAGGTACGTTTTCCTGACGACCAGACGTTGTCTTAGCTGTTGCTTATAGTTAATTGAACATGGCTAATAATTTTAATTACATCCTGAATTCTTGGAGATATCTTACTTACAAGTTTATTAGATGAAAGGCTTTAGAGTCACTTTTACTCCATTACAGAAATTTTCTAAAAATAGAATCCTATTACAATAAATCAGAACAAAAAATTATAAATAATTTGAGTTTAGTTAAAATTCTCTGGAACAGTATTCTAATTTGGTGAAAACTATTTATTTTGTATGTGTTCTTTGTATAAGCAAAGGCCTTCTAAGAGCTGAACTCAACCTTCATTTTGTCAACATCACCTCCATGCTGACTCCTGTTCTCAATCCATGTCCCCATCTTGAACTTAGATTACATGAGGTACTACTTGCAAGCCAGCTTTGTGGGAAAATGTAATGAGGCATCACACCTGCTATTTCTGTACCACTTGATAATATAAAGAATAGTGACTTAAACTTTCTCGATGAAACTAAATTTAATTTGAAAGCTTGACAGCCATGTATCAATTCTTATCCTTTACCAAGCTGCTTGTATGACAGTGTCTGCATTATTCTAGGAAAAAATAAAAAATGCTCTCCATACTTTCTGAAACAGAAAAGAAGACAGATACTCTCCTGAGGTTTTGTATTTCCTTTTGTGCCAGTGTTTATATGAAAAAGATAGAAGATAGAGACATATTTACAGAAGGGAACAGGATGAAATCCTGTCATATTATTTCAAAAGATCGTAATGAACCGTCACAGCAAACAAAAAGGTCAACATGGGAAAGAGGCATTACATTTAAACTGGGTTATTACAAGACTGCCAATGTACAGTAGTTCTACAGAAAAGGTTTTGAAACTACTACTGATAGCTACAACTACACCAGAATGTGTGAAATTATTTTTTCTAGCTGGTTTCAAGCTATAGATACCATTTGTCTAAAATATATTTCACTACAGCTTAATTATTTTTAATAATTAAAATAATCTGTTAAGAAAACAGAAGTAAAGACGTATATAAAGATCACAGATATTCAAAGAGTCATCTTATTTTCCTAGGCAGTCATCCAGTCCTTTTGGAAGAAGTCAAGCTTGGTTGATTTCTACTTTTATAACGAATAGTAACTCTGTCGTATGAGCAATGAGAATAACTGCTCTGTCAAAATACCTATAAAATTTAAACAGGTATGAAAGAACAAGCTTAGTAAACTATGAAGAAAGAAACAGTAGGATAAAGCACCGAGGTTTTATCCTTACGGTACGTGTAGTCAGGACACTGAATGATAAGCAGTCTTTTCTTTGCTTCCAACAAATACTTCCAAAGCCAAAAATTACAAAGAATCAGTACGACACACAAGTTGCCCAAAGTTTTCTTTTAGTCCCTGTGATTTTTTCATCAGTTCTCCAACAAAGACATAGAGAAATTACGTAGAAAGCTCAGCAAGTTTGTGATGGTTTAATTTTAAAGATCCACAATGTGCTATTTGCTATCGAGTATTACAGTAATTTTGTTCATCTCACAATTAGTATACACATATGCTGCTTACCCTGACTTTTTTTTTTTTTTTAAATACAGAGATATGTTGTAATTTCTTTTCATGTCTACTTTCATATGCAAGGGACTACTCTGCATACCACTCTGTGAAAGAATTAGACAGCAAAAATACAACAGCTTTGACCAATCTTAAAGAGCACTCTTGAGCTCCACAACAAGCTTGAAAAATATTTCTGTCAGCCTTAAGTATGGACAGAATGTTACAAACCGGCAGACTTTATATCCCAAGGGATGTCTTTCTGATGTGAGACACTAGAGAATAGGCTGCTACACAAGCCAATTAAATATCTTCCCTGTGTGCTGCTGGACAACAATTAATACTGATTTCTGGGCATTACTGGTGACAGCTGCATACGAGCTTATAACAGATAGGTTTCTCTTATCCCTGCTTTGTATAACTCCAAGTAATAAGCATCTAGAGTCTAAATTACTCAATGGCCCATAAATTAGGCGTGTGAAAGCAGACTGTGAAGTGCATGCCAGACACATCAAGGAACAAAATAAGACACAATCTTGTAGGAGTGATGACAGTTATTTGCTGTTAAAAAAATAAAACTGAATTTTTATGAGTTCACATCTCCATTTATACAGAATTCATTATTAGATTAGACAACTGATGTCGTAGCAATCTGAACACATTTTCTTGAACTATTGTTTTCTTCTGGGTGTCTGCTCCTTTTTACTCTCCTTTCTCATCTCTTTAACTACATATGCTGGCTACAAACTGTAACATCTATCTATCTTGCCAGCAGTGTCCCAAGGCAGGGAAGTCTAGACAAATTCAGACCTCAACAGCACCTGGTCAGATAATCAGTAGGCACTTAACACCAACCTACTGCCAAAACTAGTGCTTTTTCACCTGCCCAAAGGAACAGCTCAGGTCAGTAATGTGGTAACTGTGCATAGTGAAGGATGGGGAAAAGCAGGAGAAAAGCTGCAGGCCAAGGCCAGAGAAGACCTCAGGACACAACAGTGCATGGACAACAGGAACCAAGTACACCGTGGTAAA